GTAAATAAATCATCCAATAAAAAAAAAAAGAAAAAAAAAAAAGAAAGTGAAGGGTTCACATCTTGAATCATAGTCACAAAGAAGAAGGGTCAAACTTGAAATGGCAGAAATATTTAAACTCTCCGAGCCCACCTCCAGTGTAAGGTCACAATCTCTAGGATTCCCTAAATAGGACAGCCAACTGGGGCCAAGTGTTTAAGTACCCAAGAGTATGGTGTGAATCAAACCATCACAAATATTATTATTATATTATTTTCTTAGTTTTTCTTATGGAGAGATATTTATGTAAGGTCTCTTTCACTCAAAGGCCAACATGTTATATAAGTTTTCTGCATTTTGCTTTTTGATTTAACATTAAACCCTAGAGCTCATATCATTTTAGCTCATTTATTGCTTTCAGTACTATGAACACATAGTAATTTGACCTATAGATTATATCAGACTTAATCTCTCTTATAATTAGATATTGAAGCTATATGTAATCTCTTTGATCAAAAGAATAATGCAATAAACCCTTGTGCATTTGATGCACTACCCATATGTAGGTATTTCTGTAGGACAGAGAGAGACCCAGAAGTAAAATTGCTATAGCAAAAGATATAGCCAGGCAGTGGTGACGCATGCCTTTAATCCCAGCACTTGGGAGGCAGAGGCAGGTGGATTTCTGAGTTCGAGGCCAGCCTGGTCTATAGAGAGAGTTCCAGGACAGCCATGGCTATACAGAGAAACCCTGTCTCAAAAAAACAAAAAAACAAACACACAAAAAGAGATATAATGATTTAAGAGAATAAAATGGGTTCTCTCACTCACCCTTCACTTTCCACTGAGACAAGAAAGAAGAATTTTTATTAGTGTTCAAAGAAATGCTCAAAATAGCTAGAACTAACTAATCTGTTCTCTAGGGAAAAAAACTTGATTATTTTGTCTTAACAAGTTAGGTGGCAAAACTTAGCGTGTGTTCAGACTACGCTTGAAAATCTTACCTCACAGTGCTCTCGATAAAGACTCTGTAGTGACTTGATATCCTCAAAGGTAGTACCATCTGGCAGAGAAGAGATTTCAACTTCTCCAAACTCTGGAAGTGCTCGAGATGCATCTGTTACCATGACAACACAACAGAAAAAAAGCTATTGTGGACGGTGTCAATAACAGATTAATGAGGGAAATTTTCAGAAGACTAAAAAGGAAAGAAAATACAGAGATCAAAGGGCCAAAGATCACTGACTTTCAAATTAATATTTTCTAGCCAGACTTAGTTACATTTTCAGCATATAGTATAAGAATGAATGGAGCATACTTGTGAATTTTGTATGAACTAAGCTTGACTCTAATTAAAATGGGCATTGGATAGGCTCCCAGTAAAAGAAAACCACCTAAGCTCTCCAGTAGGAATTTTAGTTATTTTTTATTATTACGCTATCCAACTACATAAAAATAAACATAGCCTTAAACTGATTATGTTCATACCTTTTAAATAATCATAAGACAAAGGCTATAAAACTAATAGCCCAAAGTACAAAACTAGCATTAAATTAAAAACATTAATTTGATGTGATGGATGATGCTATCCTGCAATCAAATTATGTCTAACAACATGAACATGGTGTCAATGACTGCAGCACAAGTCTTCTCAGGATGACACCTACACCAACCTGCTCTTCTGGTGACTACCTTCCCCAACACATTCTGAATTCAAATCACTAGGACACTTGCTGTTGCACAGAAACCTCATTTAGCCCTCTCTTGATGACACTGTATGTAATTTACAAAGCACACACTCTTTCTTTTTTCTCATTAGTCCTGTACTATTAGAAATGTACTATGGTATGTTCTTTACCATAAATTTAAAATTAAATGAAGAATGGTATTCATTTTTAAGCTTTAGGAAATATGAAATGTTCTGCATTCCTTGACTATCAAAGCTAATTATAACTACAAAATAAAAAGTAATATTGTTTTAAAGCTCAATGATCAAGTACATTATATCTGAGCACTTTGGTTTAGAAAATGCTCCCTTAAACAGTTTCAAGCTCAGAAGTTTCCTAACTTGAAAGTCTATTCCAGCTGTTTCTGTCGGCAATTCACATAAACACACACCCATGCACACACACATACACACACATACACACATCAGACATACATGCACACACACAAGCAGACACATATGCATACACAAGAAAACACACATGCACACATACATACACACAGACACATATACACATGTACGCACACAAAGATACACATACATGCACACAGACACACAAACACTTACATACGTATACACATACACTCTGATAGCACCTCTTTCTCTTGACCCACTGCTTGGAGACCATGTATCCTCATCTATGGAACATCTGTCAACTGAACTGCCACTTCAGTTCCTCAGACTCTAGCATAAATATTCAAGTGTTCAAATTCTACTTGTAAACACTTTCAGTGAGAAGAAATGTGTATACTTTCTATAAAATTATAAAAATAGGAAGCACTGAAATTAAAGATAATAAATTACTTTAACTGTTTATAATTTTTCTATATAGGTATATATAGAAACATATAGGTATGCAACTTTGTATGCAGGAAATGAGAATTCTTTTGGACTTGATATTATTTCTGAAGTAAATACACAACATGATTTTGATCACAGAAGCCAACTGTAATATAAACTCTTGAAAACACTTGATTTCAAAACACTGAGATTTTAAGGCAAATGCATTCAAGATTCCATATAGCTTAATATTTCAAAAGAGATGAACCAGAACTATCATTTAATGTCACAGTTTCAGCACCAAATCACCTCCCCCTTTATATGGAGTTAACATCTGATGACATTCTACTCAGAAAAGAGACTGCTATTGTTCTCTTCAAAATCCTAATAGCAACTAATACGCATTACACCTTAACATACCTAAAAACTGTTGATGATGTTGACTTTGGGCAATTACAGTTTGCTCAACAGATGTGCCTGTCTGTTGGCCACTTCCTGTGAAACCATCTGCAACCCCATCCACTTTCTGCATAGGCTTGTACCTAAAAATATTAGATGGGAAACAGACAAACAAACCAAATTATTCCTTGCTTTATTATACTACCCAAACTCTTAAGGCGTTCAGTTTTAATCTAGTTCCATTAATGTCAAGATACTTGTTCAATGTTTCTTCTTCATACACTCATGAAGTTCTGTGTAGACATTTTTCCCAATTGTGAAATGAAAAAGGGAAGGGCAATCAGAAAGAAATTCGTCTGTGAAACTCCAGAAATTGATGTAAGAATGAAATAACTGTGAGGCATTTCTTTGGACAGCAGAGGCAAGGATGCACGTACTAGTTGTAGTACATATTATGAATATAACTTGCGGTGGCCACTGGCTCAAGGTGCAACATACAAATACATTGGAACTTCATTCTAAACCAAGATCAAAGAGTTTGCAAAGAAATGTCAATGGAGGGCTTTCAGTTAATAGGTTTAAAATAAGATCCATCTAAAAATCTTACGATACTGCTCTTCACATTTCCTAAAGCCTCATATGCATCTTATCATATTCATCTCCCTTGATTCTTAACAACTGTACATACAAAGGCCAGAAGCTCCAGTAAGCAATCAAACAGGAAGTCATCTCTAAACCTAGTTTACCTAATTAGATGTTCGAGAACTTAGGCTAGGGTTTAACTCTCAGTGTTAGGACACTTGACTAGCAACCACAAGGCCCTGGGTTTCCCCAAAGAACAGGGAAATTATCATATGCATAAAAAGTAATCAAAGTCAAAGAACTTGTAGGTTCTACTTCTAAACTTTATGTACATTCTTTGCTGATAAAATAAAGAAAATGTGCTACAGTGGCTAAGGAACGGATTTCTTGGAGGTAAAACATCACAACCATCACATCACTATCCTACCAGCACCATACCACCAGCACAACCATCACCACCACACCACACCACCACCACACCACTACCACACCACCACACAACCACCACACCACCGTACAACCACCAACACCACCACACCACCACAGCACCTTTACTATCAGCAGCACTACCTCAGCACTTCCACACCACCACAGACATTACCATGGGCCTCCAGTCGCCTCTGCAAATCTCCCAGACAAGTAAGCACAGACTATATATGCACCAGCTACGTATTTTTTCTTTTGCTCAGGATGTACACTTTTTTCATTTCCCATATTAAACACACACACATGCACAGGCACACACACATGCACGCACCCACACACACACTCCCACACAAAACCTATGGGTCTAACCTAGTTCCTCTGCACATATATTATGTTATGGGTATGTAGTTTGGTGTTTTTGTGACATTCCTAACAGTGTGAGCCAGGAATGTCTCTGACTCTTGTCTGCCTTTGGGACCTTTTTCCTCCTACTGGGTTGCTTCATCCAGCTTTGATGTGAGAACATGTACCTGGTCTTATTGCAGCTTGTTATGCTATATTTGGTTGATGGTCCTGGAAGGCCTGCTCTTTCTGAGAAGAGGTGAAGCGGGTGGATCTGGGGGAAACTGAAGGGTGTGGTGGACTACAGTTGGGATACAATAAACATGAATAGCTTTTTAAAAATGGGGGATCAATGTGTTTTTGCTAACAAATGAGGCTTCATTAGTTTTGACAGTGATCTACAAACTGAGAAAGTTCTAGAAGGATATGTTAATCATCACTATCCCTGATGATAGAAATTGCTGCTGGAACTTTGTGTTTTATATTTGTATGGTTTTTCTTGTTTCTTATGTCAAAAAGTAGCAAAATACTATGCAAAATGAGGATAATGAAAATACAGGATTGTAATAAAAATGCACAAGAAGCAAAGATCATAAAGCTTATTATGTAGCATTAAAGTGTTTGTCTTTCCATCCCTCCATTTCTAACTGTACTGATTGTTAAAAAAGGAACTTAGTATTTTCACTACTGAGGAGTTTCCCCCTTATGCACACTCCTTAAATCAATTGACATGTGGTCATTATGAATGGCAAAGCCCCTAACACATGAAAAGGATACATTTCAAAGATGGCTCCATTCAGTCAAAGGGTAGTACATGATTGGACCTAGTGAACACCATATGAGCAATTCTTAGATGGCTTGAATATTTCGATAATTGAATAAGAAAGTGAGGGGACAGAGGATGAAACAGAGCAGAGCAAACATCATCCTTCTTAGAGCTTTAGTGATATCTCCCTCAAGAACAGAATTTCGGTGGCCATTCTCTAATGACAGAAGAGAAAACGTCGGTCTGTGGCCATACTCAGAATCAGGAAAAGCACTGGTACTGTGCTGCTCCAAGACTGCCACTTCCAATGCTGGTCTTCCCAGCAGGTCATGAGAGAGTTGAAAAGCTTTTCCTGGCAGGTGTGCTGTATGCCGGTGTGGGTGTTAGTGGGTTGGCCGTTTTGTGTAGCAGACTTAAAAGATTTCACGAGTAAAGTTTTGTTTCCTCATTGATTCGTTCAAAGTTTAATCTGATTTTAGCTGACATTTTTTAGACACAAAAAAGTCATATTAATAATAAAATAGAAAATTTCTTTAACAATGTTTACTCATGGTTAAATGTATTACCTTAGATGAAGTGGTTAAATTTGAATGATTTAATCTGGCAATATTTCCTATAGATTCAGTTATTAAGTTTTAGTATTGGTTTATGCAGTGTCTGTGATTTTGTCTATTTTTCATCATGTTCTTTTTATTCTACGCAGCACTAGGTCTTACTGAAATGAATATGAAGAGTAAGTGAAATTTAACCTGAAAAGAAACGATAGCTATTTCTCTTGGAGGGCACATTTTCCAAGGATACATGCGATACACAGTAGTCTATCTTCACAAAGGGCTCAGCAAATCTCCTCCTTAAAAGCAAAATTATTTGCTCCCCTGGAAGGACAGAGTTGGCCAATATCATAGGCAGTGGAAGACTCAAAAAGAAAGGGGCATTACATCTTAAAATGTGCAATCAAACCACAATGAGTTACAATTAACACATGACTGTGTAATAATACTACTATTGAACTAGAAGCACTAATTAGGTGTACAATATTATGTGGGAGATATAAAACATATGAAAAGGAGCTTAGGGGAGGGAGAGAGTCATACAAAAATATTCTAAAAATACTTTGAGTCAATACTTAGAAAAAAAGAGGAAACCCAGAAAATACAGAACTAGGAAATGAACATTTTCATTATAATTAGAACAGTAACAATAACAGAATAAACAGTGGGTTGAAAGACAAGCAAGAATGTCTTTCATGTACTTATCTTTGGTAGTAATACAAATTGTGTAAGCCAGAATTCTTTTTTGAAAGCTGATTTCTTTTTATTCTCTGAGAAGTTAATATGTAAGTACAATGTGTTTGATCAAATCCATCCCTCATGCTCCATACCAGCTCCTCCAGAGCTTCCATCCATGGTAAAAATATGCAGCTGAAAAGCCCAACATCATTGGCAATTTTTTATTGGATTTTTATTTACGTTTCAGATGTTATCCCCTTTCCCCATTTCCTCCCCCCTGCCAGAAACCCATTATTCCATCCCCCCTCCTGCTACTTTTATAAGGATGTACCTCCACCCATCTACCCACTCCCCCCTCAAGTTCCCCCACACTGGGGCATCAGGTCTTCACTGGACCAAGGACCTCCTCTCTGACCAATGCCTGACAAGGCCATCTCCTACTACATATACAGCTGGAGCCATTGGTCCCTCCAAGCATGTTCCCAGGCTGGCGGTTTAGACCCTGGGAGGTCTGGTTGGTTGGTATTGTCACTCTTCTCATGGGGCTGAAAGCCCATTCAGCCCCTTCAGTCTTCTCTGTACCTCCTCCACTGGGGACCCTGTGATCAGTTCAAAGTAAGCTGCAAGCATTCGCCTCTGGCAGAGCCTCTCAGGAGACAGGTATATCAGGCTCTGGTCAGCATGTACTTCCAAAGCCAGAAATTTGTGAGCCTTAGGCTGAAAGGTCTGGGGACAAATTCTGGGAGTGGTTTGTGTCAGTGATGAATGGAAGATGGCTCATGGCCAAGAGGGCTTTTGTGAGCAAGGACACATAAAGAGCTCCTCTGAAGCACTACCTTTTGCTCTCTATGCTGTGTCTAAAGCAATAACCACACAGTTACATATTCACTGTATTACTGTCTAGCATTTAGTCAGTCCTTGGAAGACATCCTCAAATTTGGAAATTTTGTATTCAAGAAGTCCAGTTCATTCTCTTGATTCTAAGGGAATATAGGATCAATTACCTTAGTTGTCTGGGTTTCCCCAAAGCAGGAACACCAAGACAGTCACATTCAACAGAGGCTAAACAAATACTCATGATTGCTGATTCTTCCTTGAAGAGATGGCTAAGGATGATATTTATTGGTCATTCTGAAGCTTTATCATCAATATCTAGGATGTTATGCACAAGAGCCTAGCTTTACTCAGCATCTACTAAACAGTGTCTTTGAGAGTGCGGCTTGGAGTTGGTTTTACTCCTTCTAAGAGATTTCCTGAGTAGCTTGCACAAACCTAGCCCACGGGAACTTCTTATTACAAAAAAGACACCTTTAATCACATGTTGTAGAAATATACTCAACATTAGACAGCACACATTCCCCTAAAACCACATAAATTTAAATTTTTCCTATAATATACACAAATTTTAAATGAATAGCTAAGATCACACTATAAATTGTTGTAACATAATTGGATCAATTTATCAGGCATTGAGTACTACATGTGATATGGTGGTGTGCAGGCTGTTTTAGTCAGGTAAAGGATAAACATTAATATTTTTAAGTTTTTGAATATTTTATTGGTCTAACATAATAGTTCTACATTATCTCAATTCTAGTGATAGTTTTTATTATTAAAAGATGAATGTTGGATTATTTTGCCTCTCTTTACTCTTCATTAAATAGTCATAAAAATACTACATTGTAAAAGGTAGAGGGCATTGACTGAAAACACAGCACCACCAAACCTGTGCATCAAATCCAGTGGAAATAATGAACTCTGCAGTACTGAAAACTGTACCTTCCATGTACTCTCATTT